AAAAATGATTACAGCAAATGTTAGGGCCTAATGTTAAGCATTTTTGTTTGCATGTCCGCGTGTGTCCCACCTTACATGTTTAGGTATACATGTGGAGAACCAAAGCAGGAGTCAGTGTCTTCCCTAACCACCCTCTATTCTATGTATTAAGTCAAGAACTCTTGTTGAATCTGGCCGTTCTTTCCCAGGGATCCTTTGTCTTTAACATCCAAGTGCTGGCGTTATAGGTAGCTGCTACACCTGCCCTGTTTTAATCAGAGTTCTGGGACCCATTGTGGCAAGATCTTTATCCACTGAGTCAAATCTCCATCTCTGTGTTGTGTTTTTGAAAGCCATGACTACCTCATTATTTGTATTATGAAGCTTTCAAAATACATCTCTGTGGCAGAGATATACCCAATCCCAGGTTAAGATAGTCAACCTAACATCTATAAATGGATTCCAGATCTTAAAATGCCACAGGCATGTTTTCCTTAATTTTATAGAACAGAAAAACACTATAAACTTCATTTAATATTTACATATTAAAAAATTTATTATTTAAATTGTGTACATGTGTGAAATAATGTTTTTAGAAGAATGCTATGGGAACTCCTCCAGCCGATAGCTTTTAAGATACCGGCCCACTTTGAGCATGGTTTCATGTACTATAAATGCAGACAGAAAGCATGCATGGGCCTCTTGGCTGCTGAATTCAGTTCCAGTTCCCAGCGCACACAGAGGACTGTGGATTGCTTCTATTTCTATGAGTTTGCTTCCTAATAAATAAACCTTTGTTATACTCCATTCCGGGCTATTTTGGAACTCTTTTGTACACCAAAAAAAGAAGATGATTTTTTTTTTAATGTGTATGAATGCTTTGCCTGCATGTTTGTATATGCACCATGTGCATGCAGTACCTGTAGAGACCAGAAGGGGCCGTCCTATCCTTGTAACTGGTGTTCATGCTGCGCTGGGAACTGAACCTGACTCTTCTCAAGAACAGCAAGTGCTCAACAGTGGAGCCCCCTCCGTAGCCTAAAAGCAAAGTTCTAAGATGATGACGAGGCATCAGCTTTCACTGCCTGGTGTAAGATGCTAGTCTCTGCAGAAATGCGCAGGGCAGATGCCAGTAGGGACCTCCTTTCTCCTCATCTTGCAGTTTTAGTAGCCTCCTCAGTCCTTCCTCATGCCTCTTCTGTTTCTTTTGACATAGTTCATCCTGGCTTTTACTGTTCATTACTATGATTTTACAAAGGAAATCTGTTCAAACTGAAAGAAATCCTCTTAGAATTTTTTGTTGATGCACAATATTTTAAAGTTAACCGATTTTTTTTTTTAAAAAAAAACAGAACCATATACCAATTTCTATTTTCTTTAGACTTTGCAAAGAGGATTGCTATTTGTCTTGCTGTCTTTGTGAATGGAGCAATTCCTTCTATTATACCTTAGTTTTTTCTTTTATTTATTTATTTGTGCACACACACACATGCATGCACACACACATTTTTTTTTATCCTTCTACCAATTCAACCCTGGGAATCAAACTCAAGTCTGCTTGGAGTTTAGGTCATCAAGATTGGAGTCAAAGACCTTTCTCTGTTGAGCTCTCTCTCTGGCCCGCCCTGTTAAATCTTTTGGTTGTTCATTTGCCTGGGGATTATTGACTTCTCCATGTATGACAGTCAGGTGTCATACTGGATTAGTTTTCATTGTTTGTAATAGTTTTCCCATAATTCCCTTGTAGTCTCTAGCTAAGCTATCATTTTAGCTGCACGTCTCCACAGTTGCAATCACTAAATAAAGGTAACGTTGAGATGCATGGTTAACTTGTTTGTGTGCACATTTCAACACAGTCTCTCGAGGTAGCTGTTTGGAAGGTGACATAAGCTGTCAACCATAAGCACGCACAAAACAACACGAAGCAAAACAAGACACGCGTGCAAACAAAAACTGTTCTCATACACACAGTTGCTGGATAGTTGGTTGTTTCAGAGTCGGTGGAGACAAAACAAAAGGACATAATCACGTGCCGGAGATTGTATCGCTATCACCGAATAAACTGTCAATCTTGCATTCCAGAGAATGCATTGCAAGAACACACATGTTCTTTAAAGCCTGACTAGGTAACTTACAATAAGTGCAGATTTGAACCTGTAAAGCGCTCCAGTGAGATGCTGTTTTACTGCTCTCTGCTTATGTTATAGTTCCTCCTAAGACTTCACTTGGAAGCCAAGTGTAGCTGACAAGAAAAGTGGGAAATGTCCAAGGGAGTCCTGGCTCTCAGTCTAGGGACACTTAGCCCCGTCATCGGGAGTCCGGCGCTAGACAGCAGCCCACAGTTTCTGTACTACTCAGGAGGCCTCTGAGACTCCTTGTGTCTCACTGGGAACGGTTCCAGCCCTGTGCTTACCTGCACTGAGTGGCTGGTTAAGATAAAGCGGGGTGGGAACCGGGCCGGCCCAGTTGTATCTCTCCCCGAGAACGCCAGAACACGAAGGAAGTGACTCAGGACAACCAGTCAGACCTTGCTGGGAAAATACAACTCAGCATTACATCAGCCAATGTTTGAAAACAAAGTGTCCCAGGAAACTGTTTGGAAACCCGGCCTATCACTTTCCCTTATTGGTTTAACTATTTGTTTAGTTAACCAAAGCAGCTGCCACTTGTGTTTAGTTTTGCTGGTTACATATTCTGGTCACCTCTGGAGGGGGCGAGGTGGGGCCGCCACTCTCATTTTCTCACGGAGGGAAGTGAAGATCTGGGCTTTGCTTAGCGTTGTGTAAGCGGGAGGTGGTGGGGCCGGTTACTAAATCTAGTTCTGCCTAGGTAGTGTGAGGACATGGCTTGTCCCTGGATCTCTCAGAAACTCCGTTTTCTGATTTGGAGAATGAACATAGCACTGTGCAATAGTTTGTGAGAAGGAAGTGAGGCCACACGAGTAAAACATCTCTGCCGGTATTTCCCTGTACACAGAACACCGTGTGTTATTAGGTCACCTTCTTTTCTCTCTACCCAGCATCTCCTTGATGGTCGGGCAGTTGTAGCCTTCGTCTACATTTCTAAGCATCCACGCCTAATGTCCTGCCTACCTGGTAGCAAATTAGGGCATGGTTTATCGAATCCTCAACATAATGATTTCCCTGAGGACGAACTTAGAGCAAATTTCTTCCAGTATTTTAGTTGTTAACCTCTTCGTCTGCTTTGCAAAGGCCAAGGGTATGTTGAGATGGTTAAGATGAAGCCACAGTTCATTGAATCATACATTAAATGAAGTGAGGATGAGGCTATAATCCATGTCCAGGTGTCATAACTGCAGAGGTAATAAGCAGCAGGCAGAAGCAGAATCATAAAAATGCTCTCATCTGCCCATGCGTTTGTGTGAGGGCTTACACTACTCGTCAGGAATTTCCGGCTCTGCCATTTTTTTCTATGGAACTTTTCAATTGCTTGTAATGGGTCGCTGTGCTTCCTCCCCAGGCCTGGCTGTTATCAGCTCCATTCAGATATTCCTTCCTCTGTGGTTTGGAGTGCTTTGTGACACTCATGAATGGGTGTGCCTAGCTTCCAGTGATTGGAATGCACCTCTGCATCACGGAGACTCATCGGCTTTACTTCCTCACACATAGAAGTGTTGGAGGCGGTTACTCTTTTTCAAACACTTATTAGTTCTTTAAACCTCTAGGAAAATGGTTCTGTAAGATCAAAAGCCGCAAAAACATTTGTAAGAAGTCATTTCCTACTAAATTAATATGCTAGGTAGCAATGAAAAAACTTCCAGGGAGTCGAAGTTACCAATTTGAGTAATTTTTTTTTATTCGTTTTTAGGTTTATTTACTTTATGTGTACAAGTGTTTTTCCTGCATACATGTCTGTGCACCGGGTGTCCTCAGAGGTCAGAAGAAGGACTTCTTCTCTGGAACTGGAGTTACAGATAGTTGTGAGCCACTGTGTGGGTGCTGAGAAACAAACTGGGGTCCTCTGCAAGAGTAGTCAGTGCTCTTAACCTCTGAGCCATCTCTCCAGCCCCTAATTTGAGTATTTCTAGTCAGGCCTGTGGTACCAGGGGAAACAAGGCTGTGTGGAGGACTGCGTGAGTGTGGGGGACTGCGTGAGTGTGGGGGACTGTGTGAGTGTGGGGGATTGTGTGAGTGTGGGGCACTGTGTGTGTGAGTGTGGGGGACTGTGTGTGTGAGTGTGGGGGACTGTGTGAGTGTGGGGGACTGTGTGAGCGTGGCTGGCAACAGGATCTAGTCTAGCCCACAGTCAACTCAGTGAACTTGGGAGAACATTGAGTTGTATTGTCTCCAGCTCTAGAAACGAGCAGTCTTACTTTGTGAAGTCAGATGTGGCGCCTGAAAACTGTCATGTAGAGATGCGGCATCAAACTTCCACAGCCTTGTTTTAGTGTGTAGACATGCGTGTTAACTCTGCACCAGTTTTAAGGTGTGTTCAGCTAGTCAATGAGAAGTGGTGTAGAGAGGTAGATTTGATGTTTCTTAGCTTTCCATGGAGAAACATGGCCCTATGGGTTTCTGATTGTTTATTTGTTTTGTTTTTAAAATTAGATTCAGCTGATAATTCTGCTTCCTAATTATAATCCAATTTTTACTTTTTTTTTATCAATTTCACAACAATCTGCCAGGAAAGGGGGAAAATCAGTATTTTCTTAAAATCTCTTTGTATCAATTGCATGCAGCTGTCAATTGAATCTTATCCAGTGTTTTAACTCCCTTAAATTAAAATTTCTGACATCGCGCAGGCCAATACCACTGATATGGTGGTAGGCAGTTCTCTGTGAGCTGAAGGCAACTTAGTCTAGACACGGATTCCAGGCCAGCCAAAGCTGCCCAGTGCGACCTGTGGGAGAAAAATCGAAGAGTATGTCATAATTTCCTCTGACTATAAAAATGGAACCAATCTCTAGAAATGCAAGAGTGGACACGTAGATTTCATTGGGTATTTCACTATGCTACTGGATAAAAAGTGAACCAGGAGTGTGTATCTTGGAAGGCAGCAGAGCGAATTGCCAAGATCTCGGTAGGTGGCATGATGTCTGTTTGGTAAGACAGGAATCCCAGCAGCAGTGGTTTCTAGAAACAGTAAGTGAATTTACTTTTGAAAAGATTAACTTCTTAGTAAGTAATCACATTAAAAATTAAGGTGTTGGAAACAAGAGTTTTTGTAACTAAAATTGGTAGTATTTGTTTAGTTTTTGCGGTGCTGGGGTTGAGCTCAGGTGATTGACATCTTGTAGGTGAAAAGCAAATGTTTTACCAGCTGAGTTATAGCCTCAGCCTTCAGAATTATAATTTATAAGTAAAGGAAAACAGAATTTGACTGTTAAAGGACGGACTGTATAGAGACAAAGACCACTTCACACAACACTCTTAGAGTTGTGCTTTAGGTAGACAGAAATAGACACGGTCAATAAAGTCAGTGATAGTGCTTACTTACAGTGCAAAGCCCTGGGTTTAGTCCCCTGCACTCCAGAAAACAAGAGAACAAACTACATTCAGTAGTTAAATAATGTGGTCTTAGCTCCAAAGAGACAGGAAAATGGAACCAACATTGAGTTCAAAACCGGCCAAATCCATGTGAAGAATCATAAGAAGATGAGCTGTCCCTGAGCGGTGCTGGGGTAGCTTGCTAGCCATTCGAGGGAGGGGACGAAGAGAGCTCTTTATGTAAATCAGAATTACTAACGGATACGAAGGGTTTCTTGTTAAGAAACATGCATTAAACTGCTAGAAGACTAGTAATTAAAAACGAACCCTTCCATTCTTTGACTATAGAAAGAGTCTTAAAGCAAGATAACCAAGCGAGAATGTAAACAGAGAAGCCCACAGAGTTAATGATAGAGTTTACAGAAAATGGGAGCCCCCTGAGTGAGTGGCTCCCTTGTGTGCGGAGCTTGGAGCTTAGAGGTAGAGCTACAAATGGGGAAGATGTAAGAGTGAAATTCAGGGAGGATCAGTTCTGAGAAACAAAGGGTGTGGTAGGAGGGGCACAGAGAGAAACTATGGCTCCTTTCCAGAATCTGATTAAAACTCCGACCTTTGATCCAGAAAAAATGGCTTCGAATAGATACACACACTTTTGCGTGCAAAGCTGGGCACGGCAGTAGTGCACTGTGGACCTCCGGTAAGAGCCTTCATATAGCTTACTTATTTCCTTATTTTCAGTGCTGGCAAGCACTGTGGCACTGAGCCCTCCCACAACTTGCCCTTTTACTGTAGCATTTGGAAGTGACATAAGACTTCAATGTCACTTATCTATGCAATTTTTTTGTTTGGTTTTGGTTTTGGTTTTTGGAGACAGGGTTTCTCTGTGTAACTGCCCTGGCTGTCCTGAAACTCATTCTGTAGGCCAGGCTAGCCTTGAACTCACAGAGATCCACCTGCCTCTGCCTCCTGAGTGCTGGAATTAAAGGTGTGTGCCACCACCCAGCCTATGCAATGTTAAAGAAAATCACATCTCACAGTTTCATCTAAATGTCCAAAACCCCTGGAACTAAGGATCTGTTGCTTCCATTTGAACAGCTCGGAGGCTTAGGGCTTCTGAGATGAAATAAATGGTGTCAGAGCCTTTTTGACGCAAGTGGTCTTTCTGCCTCTCTCATTCTAATGGAAGACTCGGTTTTTCAGGCTTGGGACTCTCCAGAGTTGAGTAAAACTATGTTTGCCTGGAACACTTAGTGTCAGGTTGTGACGTCAATGGATGCCGGTTGATAACATTTAAACTCGGTTTGCAGAAAGTTCTGCTGTTACTAAAATACATTCTATTGATTGTCTACGCAATTGCATGCCAAGGCAAGATCTGGGGAACTGTTTGGTTATTTTGGTCAAGGCAGTTGCTGGTAATTGCTGGTTTTAACTTTTTTTTCCCCTCCTTGAATTACATGAAAACATAAACAGAGAATATTGGATATATGTACTTGAAGATTTTTTTTATAGTTTTACTACTGAGCTTTTAAAATACAAAATGTTATTTGTGAGGTAATTAAAGGTAACATTAAGGGAAGGATAAGGTCACAGAGGACAGTTCTATTGGGATGAATCTAAGTTCTTTGGACAAGGTGCCTCTTTGGACACCGTTTGTTCTCCCAGTGGGGCAAAGCAACGCTTCCATTTATCCGCTTGACCTCTTCTCATTACTCAGTGATAGCGACTAGAGAGAGCATCTTTGGTGTGTGTTCACCCATTTATTTCTAAAGTACGCAGACTTCTCTCCATCAGCAGGGAAATCCATAGATTCTGGGCATTTCTTTGCAAAACTATTTTACTGGTCACTGTGACTTGGAATTAATAGCATCATTAATTAGAGACGAATCTGGTGGGGAAGAGGAGAATGGGACATGAGAGAGCAGTAACTGCCGAACTCTCTGGGAATTGGCCACTAGGACCACTGGGAAGGCGTGAAGCTGTCACCTAGGCTTCTGGGGCTCTGGGCACTGTCCTGCGCACACGTTCCTTCTCCTCACTCTCAATAATCCTGCGAGGCGGCAGGTTTGACCATCCGTATCTAACAGCGGTGGGAACAACCTCAGAGAGGTTTTCATAAATACCTCAAACTGAGACCATTGGCAAATTGCTATCAGGATTTGAACTCAGGAGCATGGAGGCCTTAAGCCTGTGAATGCATGCATGCGTGCATGCGTGCATATGTGTGTGCATGCTAGCGTGTCACGATGCTGCCTGTGGCCATCCAAGAAAGGCTAATGCTGTAGTAATTTCTCCCCATTTGTCCTTTGGTTAGCTGCCCAGCATTCTTTTCAGTGTGAGTGCCACACACTCCAGTTTATTTTCATTCAGAGATAAGAGTACATAGAGAGCTGCAGGTCCTTTTATGGTTGGTTGAAATTTATTCTATATTTACTACTCACTGTGCATCAGAATGACTTGATTAGTTGAAAATAGAGGCATTAGTTCCTGTGTGGGATCTGAATAATGTACGCTGTGTAAGTTTCTAGCTCTGCCTTTGGAGCATGCTAATTTGCATTTGTTCTCTTTTCTTGTGCTCTTGGCAGATCATGAAAATTTCAAGAATTAAAATCAAGGTGCATGTGATTTTCTATACTTCATGAGAGGACAACCATGAACTTGGGGACAGACCCAAGTTACCCGAGAGTGCAGCTCCATCCCGTGTCCTCCTGGGGATAGTCACAGCGGTCTGAAGGTAAAGAGGACTTTGCTTTGGTCATTTTACTGGTTGCTGTCTGCCACAAGGCTCTAGGAAGAACACTATGGTGTGGTTCAGCACGTGCTATTGTGCTATTGTCTATGTGTCTGACTCCACCCCCTCCCTGTCCCCTTTCTCCCTTGTGGGGAAGTCTAAGTGGAAGGGTTGTGAATGATCGTGAATTTTTCAGCCATTAAAAAAAAAGTGAAATTGCCAGGGGTTGTTGGCACACACCTTTAATCCCAGCACTTGGAAGGCAGATCTCTGTGAGTTCGAGGCCAAACTGATCTACAGAGCGAGTTCCAGGACCGGCTCCATAGCTACTGAGATACCATATCTTGAACCCCACCTCGCCCTCCAAAAAGGTGAAAAATCATGACATTTGCAGGAAAATGGATGGAACTAGAGATCATTATATTAAATGAAATAAGCTGGATTCAGAAAGACAAATACATGTTTTCTCTTCTCTCTCTCTCTCTCTCTCTCTCTCTCTCTCTCTCTCTCTCTTTCTCTCTCTTTCAGGAGGTCATAAGCACAGGCTCCAGCTTGAGACTGACCTTGAACTCTTGATCCTTCTCCTCCACCTCGAAACTTTGGGGTTATACATATATACCCTATGCCTGATTTAGGAGTTTTTCTCTTGCAAGTTAAAAAAGAAGTCACAAGACTAGGAACTTCATGAAGGTATCATATCTTCATAGGATATATGAAGTTATATCAGGTAAGCATTTCCTCATCAAATCTGCATAATAAAGTTATAAGTTCATCATTGCTCTGCTTTCAAGGAACCAGTGAAGCAGAGAGGAAGAGAAGATAGAGATAAGGACGGGGGTGTCAAGGGCTGTAGTCACAGGACCAAATGAGGGCACAGCCGGGAGGCGCTTGGCATCACTGGAGGTGTCAGGGGAAATGTTCCAGGATGGAGTAATCTATTCCTAGCTACACTGGCCACATAGTTTGTGAGGCCCAGTGACTGAAAATGCTTATTCACTCAGAGACTATGAAGACTTTCAAAATATCACAGCAAATATGGGCACCTCAAATTGATGTTCCTTCCACCCAGAACTGTAGAGCCCACGATGGGAAAATGAACCCAACCCGGGCACCAGTGCTATTTGTTTCTTTTGAAGCATTTTTATAATCTAATTACACTCTAAGAAAATTATTTTTAAGTCAGTTTGGCGTGGCCCTGGTAGTTTTGGGGGAGAAACCAAGGACGTTAGAAAGGGTCATGGGGACATTTGCTATTAATTGCTCTTCCTGCACAGATCTGCGTTTTTCTGGAAAGTTTGGGGGATATTTGCAACTCTCTCTAGCAGCCTGCGCCTCTCAACCAAATGACATGTCAGCGACAAAAAGCAAGTTATTAGTCGTGTGTTTGCTTGGGATGGAACAGAAACCCCTCCTACCGATGAGATAAATAGTGCCGTGCATGGAGGGACACCACATACCTTCCTGCGGATGCCAGGCTTGGTCATGTGACTCACTTTGGCTATTAGTGAGGGGAAATGATGCAATCCAGACTGAGGAAAAGTTCTGGCCAACTCTTTAAAGGCCATGGCAAGTTGGTGTTCCCCTTCATATCCCCCACCACAAGTCCTATGTGTCCCCTGTCCTTCAGCCTGGATGCCGATGAAGAAGCTACAGGGAGTCATAGCCATCACGTGACATGTGTATGAGAAGTCACTGAGGTTAGGAGGTTATTTAGAACTTGGGGAAGGGGACTGTTAGGGCCTAATCACGAACTGGTTCTCACAAGTACAGTGTTCATCAGCTAAAGGACAGTCTGTGGCCTCACCCTCTGGAGAGCGGCATTGCCCTAAGGGCAATGGCAGGTTCTTCCAGGGGAGGATGTGCTGTGAATTCTGCTGATGGTTCTAGGATCTGCTGGGAAATCAAGCTGGACCCTCGGTGCAGGAAAGGGTTTGATGGCTAACAGTCCCTGCCCTGGCTTCCCATCTGCCTCTGCAGTTTACTGCCTGACTGACCTTGGGCAAATTGCCTGGCCTCAGTTTCCCCATCTGTAAACTTGGAAGACTATTTCCCCACTAAGCTGTGAGGGCAGAAGCACTTCCTGTTGCTCCTTTTATACCAGAGCTCCCTTCCATCCCGTTTACCTGCTCGGATTCAGTTACATTCTGTGTATTTCCATTACCTGCCCTTCATTAGAACAAAATAAAGGGGGCAGGAGGATCAAGAGAGGGGGGCTGGGAATATACCTAACTGGTAGCATATTTTTCCAGGACTTTCAAGGCTTGGGATTTAATTCTCACTGCAAAAAACAAACACTGAAAAACAAAACAAAAAGACAAAAATGGAAACAAAAGCAAAGAAATGACTCCTTCAAACAAAAGAAAACAAAACCAAATGAGCCAGAACACGGGACATCTGTAGATCCCCGCCGAGCACTCCTTTCTTGTCAAACACCGGTCCTCTCCTTCTCCAGAGACAACCATGATCGCTCACATGCTATTTTCATCTGGATATCTTATGTATGTTCCTAAATATATTACTTATTATCATAGCAAACACTGTTCTGGGTAGATAATGCAGACAGCTAAATTTAAAAAAATGCAGCAATATTCTTTACAAAGGACAAATCTTGGATGGAAAAATTAATTAAGTCTGAGTGTGGTGGTACATGCCTACAATCCCAGGACTCAGAGATCAGAGGCAAGGAGCTGGTGAGTTTGTGGCCAACCTGTACTACACAGTGTGATGCTATCTCACAAACAGAACAAGGAAAAATTAGCAAGACATACCATTTCTCAAAAGACAATGAAGGAGGAGGCACCTTTCTGTCACTCCTCAAGAGTTGTTTTTTCCCATTGTCACTATGGACCAGACCCTGGATTAGGAACTGGGAGTCAAGCAAAAGGGGACAGAAAAAGGCCATTCCTCTGAGTTTGCTTTCTAGTAGAATGAAGGCAATACTTTAGCGAGCGAACACAGTAACAGCCCCTTCCCACCAAGCATCAAGTAAGGGTCCCCAGGGAACGCTGCAATGAGTAGATTCAGTTAATGACCACAGTACAGCTGTTCCAAGAAAGGGCAGTGGCAATCTAGACTATATGACCTGCAAAAATTAAATGCTAAAGTAAAGTAATCCAACCAACAAAACAGGCTATAGTTTGTAGAATAAGAACCTAAAATGGTCAATAAATAACTTGGAAAAGAATTCAATATTCCTACCATTGGAAAAAGGCAAATTCAAAACTGATAAAGATTCCTCTTCACTCCAGTTAAATGAGAAAGAACTCTTGTTCAGTGCTGATGGGAATGTAAGCTTGGGCCGCCAGAATAGAAATTCTGTGGAGGTTTCTCAAAACCTGAAAATCAAAACTGCCAGATGACCCTAGTAAACCTTCTAGGAAATTTACCAGAAGGATGCCGAGCCAATGTACCACAGAGATACTTGTATATCCGTGTTTCCATTGCACTACTCACAACGTGCAAGAATTGCGCTCCAAGAAACGCAGCCCAGCTAGGAATCCATCAGGCAAAGGGAATGCGGTCCATGTACACAATGGAATTTTTCAGCCACAAAGAAAAGTGAAATCATGCTGTTTGCAGAAAAATGGATGGAACTGGAGACCATTGTGTTAAATGGAACAAGCTGGATCCAGAAATACAAATACGTGTTTTCTCTTACATGGGTAATTTATATTTAAATTTCTATACTTTTGCTTAGATTATGAGAGTAGGAAGGGGAATGTGAGAGAGGAGGAAAGATTGTAATGGGATGCAAGTGATATGAGCAGAGGAGGAGAAAGGGGACAGCAACAGGGGATGGGGGGATGCACATAACCATGTGTGATGACACGCGTGTGTGTAGCGCGGTAAAAAAGAACCCAGGAATAAATAAAGAAGAAGGGAAGTTACATTTATCGGGCAGCTGTCTTCTGCTAGTTTATCTGTTGCGTTTCATTAGTTTTCATAATGGCTCCTAGTGCTCCATTTTCAGGTAAGACATCTTAAAGTTCACAGTGGTCAGCCAACTTTCCCGAATGAGCCAACTGGTGAAGAGGGACTTTTGATCCTTCCCGCCCACTTCCTCAAACCTGACAGTTCTTTCAAGCAGGCAAACCACGGGCTTCGTTGTCAGGCCCTCGCCACTATCTTCAGTCGTGCTATTTTTAGACAATCAATTATTGTATCCTGGAATAAAGCTCGGGCTCAGCTTCCTGTGCCCTTCCAGGTAGTCTCCACTAATCTGCTGTCCTGTTGCCTGTTGGCTGCTCCTCTGTGAGCCCATTGCTGCCCCCGTGAAAGGACTGTGCCAGTTGCGGGATCTCACGTTCAGAGTTGTACAATGGTACAGCATTGGCTGTGCATTGCTCTTGATTCTCTACGATGTGCCCAAGGTTGTGTCGGACTGATCATCCGCTCTCTGAGCCCAGGGAACTGAAGACGTGAGTCCCTCTGACTGCAGTGAGAGCCCAGAGGATCCCTTTACTCTGTATGGAAAAAGATGGCCTCAGAGGCACTCTAGAGGCTGCTGGAGAAAGGTTGGCATGCCAGGGCAGTTCTGGCACAGTAAGGGAGGGGAGAATGACTCTGGAACCAGCCTAGGCAATGATCCAGTTTCGGGTCCCAAGATCAGTTATGGGAAGTGCTAGCTCTACTGACTGTCTCCCTCTGAGGACCGTGGTGCCGATTCAGGTGACTCAGAAGGTCTCTCTCTGTGGAGGACGTTATTGCTCAGTACCAGAAAACTACTCAGCCTTGACCTTGAAGGAAATGTCACATGCCCAACCTACATGGCATAATCTCATTTGAAACACAAAGATTTTATAATCATGAGCAATATGGAGAGAGAAAGGGCCCTTGCCTGGGTCAGGCCTCATCAGCATGATCACTTCCAACAGAGAACTCATCTCTAGGTAACTGTTATATTGGAGATGCAGTATGACATATGTCATGTTGGCAACATGCTTAAGTTTGTTCGAGAAAGCTAGGCAGCGGAGGAAACTGCGAACACACCCCTCTTGTAATCTCCTGACTACACTGCCCTGGTTGAACACACGTCACTCAACAGGAAAGTTCTAGTCTTGCTTGCCAGTCGGGGTACTGAGTCCTACCCTAGACAGGGGTGTGGTGTATGTACATGCAATAACGTAGAGCCAGCTCGCTGGGTGTGTGACAGCGAGTAGAGCTTTGCCAGCTTCAGCCTCCTGCCTTCCGTAGCACAACGCCCTTCGGATGGCTTAGAGGCACCAGGCTCTGTGCCTCCCAACTCCGGAGCCATGTTCAAACTTGTCCTCAATAAGTATGTGGTTCGGGAGGGGAACAAAATGCCGAAATAGGGGTGACTTTGAGGAGCCCGAAAATCTGCACCCTTTCCTGGCCATGCTGGCGGTCCTAGAGAAGGTGGCCTGGAGCCCAGAGATGACGTGAAGGGGACGGTAGGAAGTATGAGGCAGGGGAAAGGAAGAGCAGGCCCTCAGTGAAGTTTGTTTTCAATTTCAGCCAGGGGCTCAGAATGGCTGGCATAAATACCTCATTACTGCTGGGGTTGTTTGATTCCCACATCCTGGCTTTGTATTAGAATCACCTGTGGAGACTTAAGAGGGTGTAAATACTTGGCTCCCTTGTGGGGAAGTCTGAGTGGAAGGGTTGTGAATGGGGTCCAGGCAGCTACAATGAACAAACCCTCTGTGGGTCCCATACATTAAGGAAGCAATTCTGGGCGTGGCTCACTTTTGAAAATACAGTACTTTTCAAAAGGGACCAACACTAATCTCATGATTACTTCTTTGTGAGGAAAGTCCCCCAGACTGATTTAGGCCTTTTTGCCAAGACAGAAACGAGAGGAGTTCAGTGGATCAGCACTTATAGAAATGCTAGCTGTTCTTGTAGAAATGACCGTGAAGATGTTTGTTGCTCCTCTTAATTCTATGCATTGAATACTTAAGACAGTAGGGAACGTGTGTATATGTGTGCGCATGCTCATGCACATGTGTGCGCGTGCATGCTTGTGTGTATATGTGCGCATGTGTGGGCGCTCATGTATGTGTGTTGGGTGGAGGAGGGTTGAGACAGTGACTTATTTCTCATGTAGTCCTCCTGCCTCAGCTTCCCCACGATTCACTAAACTTCTAAAGCTGGAATTTTGAGACATTCTCTAGAAAAGTGACCTGATTTGAGTCAGCACCAATTGCACGCTAGGAGCTCTGCCTGGCAGTGCCAGGTGTGTCTTCCCAGGTCGGGAGGTCAGGCTGCAGTGGAGAACTGGCAAAGGCACCGTGCACGGGTGACATGGTGGAGACGGTGAAACCTGACGCCCAGGAAGACGCAATGATGCCTTGGCTGATTTCAACACATTCTTGCCAGTTCACTCTGTCAATTTCTGAGAACTGTCTTAAGGAAACGCTTACCAAAGAGTAACATAGGAAGAAGAGAATAATTGTATTTCAATAGGTAGCAACATCTGGAAATGCCATGATTATGAAGGACACACAGATTATTGAATAATGACGTCATTAGAAGGTTGGCACTGGAAATGCTCATAAGCTCTAGGAGCAGGCGAGATGCTTATGACAAAAAAAGTCAAAGTGCTCAGGGCCAGGACTGTTCCCAAGGCAGGATGTGGTGAGAAGACAGGAAGAGGCATGTGTCGGGGACCGGAGCTCTGAGCATCTTCTTCTCCCTGGTGCATGTAACAGAGATGAGCAGGTGGGGTCAGGTTGTTCTAGTCTTGCCAGCATCCTTAAAGAGAATAAATTGCTCTGGTTTGATCAGCGGGCTAATATACTGTTTACCTGGATTTATTGGTGATTTTGGTCATGAGTCCTCTGTGGAAAGAACTTGCCTGTGGTAGGAGGCAGTAAAACTCAGGAGATAGACCAAGAGTCAGAGAAGTGTGTGCAGAGGTAGGGAAAGGGAGGTGACCCGAAGACAGCTGTGAAGTTCCTGAGACAGATGTCTAAGCTGGACATTTACATGAGCCTGTAAAACCCCTCTCGTATGTGCGTGCGTATATGTGTGTGTGTGTGTGTGTGTGTGTGTGTGTGTGTGTGTGTAAGGTCAGAGGAAGATGGAGGGTGTCCTACTCTATACCATTGAGAGAGGGTCTGTCACTGAACCTGGAGCTAGACCAGCAACCAGCATGTTCCAGTCCTCCTGTCTGTCTCTCACAGTGCTGGGGTTACAGACTGTGCGACTATGCCCAACTGTCTTTGTGAGTGATGGAGATTTGAACTCATCACCACGCTCGAGCGACAAACACTCTTACTCACCGAGTCATCCATCTCACTGGCCCCTGCAATCCCTTTCTTAGCTAGCTAACATCATGCTAGTGGCCTGCCATAGAAAGAGTTTGGGCAATAGATTCTTTACTTTAAAAAAAATGTTTTTATTCTACTTAGAACCTGCCAAGGTTCTTACTTGTTTATTTTCAAAGAAACCTTCCTTACTTTCCGAAGTCCTGGAACATTTTGTGTGGTGCGTAGATGCTGTATTGATGAATCATTTCCCATTATATTACTGATAGAATTTTGGTCCCTACTGCACGGTCACTTCCTCTTGTGTCTTTTTCTTTTCCTTCAGCATCAGCCACGTTAACTGTTTCCTCACATCCTGCTCCCAACAATAGGCAGCTGGAGAGGGCTTTGGAGAGAATGGTCTGGGCCACAATGGGAATTCAGATCTGTACAGGGCAGGAAGATGTGGAGAGTTTGGGGAATTATGGGGTAATATGTGGTGAATTCCATAATCCAAAATAATTGACGGAGCACACACTAAACAGTAGGACCCAATGCTGATAAAAGTAGATAGAACTTTTTTTTTTTATTTTTATTTTCGAGACAGGGTTTATCCGTAGCTTTTGATTCCTGTCCTGGAACTAGCTCTTCTAGACCAGGCTGGCCTTGAACTCACAGAGATCTGCCTGCCTCTGTCTTCCGAGTGCTGGGATTAAAGGCGTGCGCCACCACCGCCCAGCAGATAGAACCTTAATATGTGTTCATTAATATGGTTCTTCAATTCCTCAACTTGGTAAATCCTACCCCTGCGTTCCCTCGAGGTACAGAGCTGACCTAGACTTAGAATTCATTTGGCATTTCTTTACTTGTTTTTGTACACGGACAACACTGCCAACAGTCAATGTTTATTGAAATTCAACCCTGCACTTCTGTAATAGAATTCATTATGGTTTCCTGTATTTTACCAAATAAAGAAACTGAACTGATTATGGCTCCAGTAGGTGACAGAGGTGAATTGACTCCCAGAAAATCTGGCTCCTCAATATTGGATGATGCTGTTCGTACAATATGTGAGAAATCTGCTCAGAAATGTGGGATCTGGTACTTAAGCCCATTAAATAGATATTTTTAAAATATTTTTTTAAAAGATCTGTCTTATATATGTATGTGTGTGTACCAAATGTGTACCTGGTATCAGAAGAAGGCATTGGAGCCCCTGCAATAGGAGGTATGGATGTTGTAAACCACCACATTGGTACTGGGAACTGAACCCAGGTCCTCTGCAAGAGCGAGTGCTTATAACCATAAGCACTCTCTCTGGCATCATTGAATATTTTTGAAAAAATAATTAGGCTGAATATTGGTTGTGAGGTATAAGATTAGCTGGCCAGGAGAGATGATGGGGAATTCTCTTCTCAGCTTGCTATATGGACTTCTAGCTATAGAGAAAAAACTTAATTCGTCTATTTGTTGCATCTATTCAACAGAATAGTTGGTGGACTAAATGCTAAATTAATTTCTTTCTTTCCTTTTTTTTTTTTTTTTTTTTTTTTTTTTTTT